AGGAACGAGGTAAGACTAACTGGCCTATAGTTTTCTGGGTCCTCCTTCTTCCCCTTTTTGAAGATGGGAACCACGCTGGCCCTCTTCCAGTCCTCTGGCACCACACCAGAGCACCATGAGTGCTTGTACAGCCGTGCCAGGGGTCCTGCAATGACCTCAGCCAATTCCCTCAGTACTCTAGGGTGGAGATCGTTCGGACCAGCTGACCTGAATACATCCAGTCCCTCCAGAAGTTCCCTAACTAGTTCCTCACTGACCCTTGGCCTAGGTGTGCCTCCCCTGGGGCCTGAGGGGGGCCCAGCGGGGGGGTGACTGTTCCGGTTCCTGCTTAGGAAAATGGAGGCAAAGAAATCGTTAAATATGTTGGCTTTGTCATCTGGTGTGACAACCAAATTTCCTAGTGTGCCCTACAGGGGCCCCACATTACCCGGAACCTTCTTTGTACCCCCTATGTATTTAAAAAAGGAATTCTTGTTGTCTTTAATCCGGGAAGCTAGTCCCAGTTCCATCTCCGCCTTGGCCTTCCTGACTGCCCCCCTGCATCCCCGAGCAACCGCAGTATAGTCCTGCCTGGTGATGGCCTCTCCCTTCCATTGGGTGTACGCCTCCCTTTTAGCTAGGAGACATTCTCGGATGCTTTTGGTGTACATGGGCTTACTTTCAGTCCCAAATTCTTGCTAGGTAATACTTAAAATTTATCCTAAAGATACCAAGGGCAGGAAACAGTTTTATGAGAGAATTAGATTTGGAAGGTAGGGATGCAACTGCCAAACACTGCATGAGCCCAAAGCAATTTCTGGTGCCAGCACTATTGAGCCTAGTATCCCTTATGCTCACCAGCTCTGGGAAATAAAAAAAGAACCAAAATTGCAATCACCAACTCTGAAATGAAGGAAAAAATATTATTATCCAGGCTGAATAAGGGGTATCAAATACCACTTTAATTAGTACTAAATTAAGCTTCTGGCTCATAGATAATAACTACTCCTCTTAACGCACAGCAAAATTCCCAACTATAGGTTGCTAGGAATTTTTAGGGTAGAATATCACCTTAAACCCCATAAGTAAGTTTTTAGTTATTCTTTCCAATGGGAACAGTGTGGGAAAATGTTGAAGTGGAAGACCTTTATTTCCACCTTCATTTCTCGTTTATTTTTTGCCATGCTTCAAGGTGATCGTATTTGAATACAAAATTCTCATTCCACTTCCAGACCATCCTCAACCTGAGAAGGAGTGATTATTAGACAAGTCCCATAATTCAACAAGGTTGAAAAGTTGCCCAGTTATCATATGCTGAAATACATGTTAGGGTTATAGAAATACATTATTTAGAGAATACGAAAAGTGACAGTTGTACTTATTAAAAAAACAACAAACCTGGCATTCTGACTCAATGAAATTTAACTACTTTTTGCAGCTCTTTCAGACTACAGTCTTAATGTACCAATAAAGAAAGCCTCAGAAGAGGATAAAGGTAGTGAGCACTGTAAAGGCTGTATACCTTCACAGCTTTTTTCCTCCAGTAAGATTAAAAAGAATCGTTATGGAGAAACAAAAATAAATTTAAGAGCTAAACATAGGATCTTATGTTCCAAAGTCTAAATAGACCATGACAAATCTGTAGAACTGTGGTTCTCTTCTCATTTGCAATAATAATCAAACAGCAGGAGGCTAAGATTATTTGAAGATTTTATCCAACTTGCTGGGCGGATACAAGAACTGTTGAGTACTTCATTAGTACAATAAATCCAGTAGGAAGGGGAGGGTTTCCTGAGGGAGATGAAAAGGGAGGCTAAAACTAATGCCCTCTTTCAAAACAACTGGTACATGTGATGTCTGTGATGTCAGCTGTCTGATACAGAGAACCATTCCCCCTCTTGGCACTAATCTTGCTGCTTCCCTTATCCATACTGCAAGGTCAGCTTTCCCAAGCTGCAAAAGAGATATAAAGTCTGGAATATATGATGGGGTGATATGATTCACATTATGTTGGTCTTACTATCACTCTGCCAGTTCCTAAATTGAGTTGCTTACTAATTCTACAGCCAATTTTAAACAGTTTAAATCATAATCACACTCTAACTAGCTTGAGATCTGAACTGGACTGGAAAAATGCTGATATGTCGTTAAACATCAGTAATGCAAAGAGCTAAGTTAGCGGAACTGCCTTAGGCTACATGGATGTTTACTAGGGGTGCGCAAAATGGGCTGTATTCGATTCAGATTCGGCCCAAATCGGTGACAGTGATATGACTTGTTGATTCAGATCACTGTCCTGATTCGATTCGGCTGAATCTGAACCTGAAGATTCGATGCCAATTCGGAGAATCAGCAATTCGGCCATAGACACAACTTTAAATGTTTTTTCTACATACCTCGAGGTACCAGGCGTGGCTCATGAATGCTGCGATGCTGGGGCAGATGGAACATCCCACAGGAATGCGGGAGGGCCCCCCCCACACACTCGGCAGTGAACCCGGAATTGGACCGGAAGTACTTCTGGTCCACTTGCAGGTCTGCCGGGAGTGCGTGCAGGGGGGGCCCCTACACGCTAGGGACCCCTGCCCCCATGGGACACTTCATCTGCCCCAGCATCTCAGCATTCATGAGCTGCCTGGTACCTTGAGGTATGTAGAAACATTTTTTAAAGCTGTGTCTATGTCCGAATCATCAAATCTTTCTGAATCTCTCTGAATTGATTCGGAGGGTTCCGATTTGGAGAGATAAAAGGTCTCCTGATTCGATTCAGATCTGGAGATTTGGCCACTGAATTGGGCTAAATCAAATCAGTGACTGAAGCTTCACACAACCCTAATGTCTACAAAGTCCAGTCCAATTATATACAAAATATTTACACTTGACATGTTTTAAAAAAAGAAAAAGAATAAGAAACAAATCCTATTCTGTAAAAGCACCAGCTATACTACCATGATGCCTCACCAGCAGGGTGAGTTCTGGTGCATCTTGAGCTACAAGATACCTGGCAGCAGTAGAAGAAAGTTAATTCAGTTATTTCAGTAGCAGAATGAACACTGCAGACATGCCATGTCTGGGCAAATGGTCACCTTATTTATTGCACACTATTCAAAGCCTATAATAATTAAAGCATTCATTGCTAGATGATCTTTATAGCTGAGTGAGCCCAGCCTGGCATTTTCTCTGCCTTCCTCCAAGGAAATGGAAGGCTCCCATCACTATTCCTTCCCTATGAAATCTCCTCTCTCCGGCCTCTCCCCCCACCTCAACAGACTGTACATTGGGTTTTCAGAGTAAGCTACTCTTGTCAGCTGCTGTTGAAATAGTCCAAGTATAGTATGGTACCAAATGACTACTGACAACACAAGCAACAGAAAGGAAATGGCCATTTTAAAAGGTTATACCTCAGCCAAACCTTACTGGAATTTTATGGGGAAAAAAAATTCTCTGACCCAGGGCTGTCTCACTGTTCCTTTTTAAGAAGTCTGCTGCAACCAACTGCAGTGTTAAGGAGCTTCTTAGGGGGAAAAAGTGTCTTCTGTAAAGAAACTGTTAGGAATTCTGAATACAAAGGTCAGTAGTAGCTCTCATAATAGCAGGGTCAGTGTAAGCAACTCAGAAGCAGTGCCATTACAGACAGGGATCTAAGCAAATAGCATAAAACATCTTTACATGTTATAGAGAACAACAGTAATCCAGAGAAAATTTAAATCTCAAGTGGAAGCTAGCCCATCGCATGCATATGTTTGGCATCATTACTGAAGTATGGGTGGGGGGGGGATCAGAGTCAAGGCGGTAAGTATTTGGGCCTGGATTGTTGCTTCCCCACAGCCCCCTCCCTTTTTGGTAAACAAAGTAAAAGATTGTTTGCTTTATCAGTCCCAGATGTGCCTGTAATATACAGAGTGGGTGTTTACCTTGTTATGAGCGACAACTTTGAGAGCAAACGTTGCCAGATAGAGAGAATTCATGACAAAACTTAGTTGATTACGAGATTCTTCTAAGAAGTCTTCTAAGCCGTCATACCAGAGTCTTTTAACATCTGACCACACCATTCCTGTAGGAGAAAGAAGTGGTAGGAAGGGGAGGAAAGAGAGTAAGAGAAGGAGATGTCACTACATTATGTTGTACACACTTTCTTTTACTGGTAGTAGCAGAATCTGCTGACTAGTTTTTTGCAAAATGAGGACTACCTGATTTCAAAGTATTTTAGTGACAAGAAGAGAGGGATTTCTACATTAATTGTTAAACAGGATAGAGTTTGT